GAAGATAGCAGTCTTCTGGGGTGTGGCGCCATGTATATATTGTGTTAACCGACGTTTCGGACGAACGTGTCGCCTCCATCTTCAGGGCTGAAGAAAAAGAATACAATCCGCGAGCAGGTCCATTTTGATTGTGCAGTGACAGAAGAAAGTGTATTGGTAGACCTTGTGAAGGTCGGACCGAAACTGACTATGTTTGTAAAGTAGAAGGAGATGGAGGTTGCGGCGGAGGAGGGGAAGTGCCATAAGGAAGAGAGAACAGTCTCGGCATGAAGACACAGACTTCAGCTGGTTTGACACACAGCAGCGCTCTGCTGCTCACCTTGTCTATGCCTACCCTTCGAAGACAACAATCTTCCGTTCTTTAGTCTGCACGTGACTTGGAACGCCACGGAGCGCTGAGACGTGCCACGGTGATGCTGACCGCGCTGCCAATGTGTGCAGGCGCGCCGTGGAAGAACATACGAAGAGCGGGAAAGCGTCTTCCTTGTCAGCTGGTAACTATAAGCATATCATTTTGTGTACTGAGGCAATGACTGTGCCATAATCCAGTACTGTGCCTGTTAAACCTGCTTTGTAATGCTTTCTTTGAACAAGGCAAACGCAAAATTGTATCTGTACACCATCTCATGTTCGTTATTTTGCCTTTGGAATCTCTGAACGCATTTGATGTTTGACAATAGAAAATTGTAGGGCGAATTTAATTTTGGTCTGTATTGAAGAATTGCGTCTTCTGGGATGCGGCGCCGTGTAAATATTATGTTAACCGACGTTTCGGAGGAATATATCACCTCGATCTTCAGTCTGCAGCCATCTGCTCACGCTGGTTCCTCGCTCGCGGATTTTTATACCCTGAAGATGGAGGCGATACGTTCTTCCGAAACGTCGGTTAACACAATATGTACACGGCGCCACATCCCAGAAGACGCCATTCTTCATAGTCACTTCCGTTAAAACCTCAAAACTTACTTAGTCTGTATTGATCCAGTATGACCTCTTCTTTATGTGAACTTCAGCTTATACGTCATTTTATTGATTTCTCATGGAGGTTCGTCACGTGACAAAATATACGTCTTTGGCGTCATTAAGAGCTACGTGGAACGTTCTTCGATGTCATGAATATATAACGACTGTGCCGCGTGACACTAATAGTGCGATCAGGGTCACAACGCATTTGGGGCTTAAACGCAATGAATAGCTGGGGCGTCAGTTAATTGTTATGATAACGCAGTCGATCTACACGTAAAGCGAAGTTCAGTAGCATGAGATTACTCTTTATTTGGAAGTGCTGAAAAGCGAAACTCGTATGTTGTAAATAATCTGGGGAGACATTTTAGTTTGTTATTTGGAAGACAGATATTTGTGAATAAGCACGACAATTGTGCAGTACAAATATACAACGCATATAACTAGACTAGTCTAGTCTACTCATAAAATGCTACAAATAAGTAGTCTAGACCGAACCGCTACAACATCAACACAAATTTAATATACGTCACTCCAAGTAAGCAACCGTTGGGTGACATACGGAGTAACGAACATACGCTCCACAAGAAGATGGTAAGGTCGAGACCACAAGATTCTGATGCGCAGGCGCCGCACACGACGCGTATAGTCGCTTCTACCGCCAGAAAATCACGTCAACACGTGGCAGTCACAAAGTTTTAAAGAGATTCATCGCAAAACATTTCATTTCCATTTTGGTACAATTTTAATTTTCATGTTTTAATCTTTAGCCTTTAGTTTTCAAATTTTATTATCTAAGTGTTTTAAATTTTAACTGAAAAATTCAATTTATGCATTTAAAAACTCTCAAGAGCTCAATAAGAACCCGCATTGAAGAATTGGGTGCAAATAGTTAGGCGCAATTCAACAGAAGACGGTGTTCTTCAGGTGCGTAATGGTTTCATTATTCTGAGACTAAGTGCAGTGTAACAGATCTATCCTTCCCTTTCATGGGAGAATGCTGACTGGCGAGCCTACATGTGCCTCTCCTTCGCGTCGTTGCGGAGGCTGCCGCCAGGGACCCATGCAGGCCAGTTGGTCAGACGATCGGATGTAGGGCATGCTAGGGACCGCTAGGGACCTCGCCCAGTTAATTGAACTGGGCCCTGTTTCCACATGCGTCAGGATAAAGTGATCCCAGTGATTGCTTTCGAGTCTCCCTTTAAAGGGGATACACCTTTACGCGAACGATGACTATTGACTCCGGGGACTAGTGTGGTGCAAAGACGGGTCAGAAGCAGGCGTATGTGGGTGAGACCGAGGATGTGGCTAGCCATCCACAGTGTTCAAGGTGTAAATCTTTTCAGTATTATTCTGTGCGAAGGACTGTATAGAGAGGAGCTGTGCAACAGAACAAACGTGTAATTACTGAGATAACGAGGCAGTTTTGCGAGTCCTTGAGGCACCAAGGAGGCAACATGTGCCCTGGCCACAGTAGGATTCAGGACAATGAGGATGCAGATGTCTTGGCTACAGAGGGATCGAATAGTTCATTCCTCGGTTCCCAAACATCAATTCAAACCTGGGAGACTCAAGTTTAAGGAGTGGCTCAAAGAGAAAGACTCCTAACATTCGTTGGGCTGATACACCGGTGTGGGGCAGTTGAGGCTCCTCGTTGTTGACTGTACATTGAAACGGCATTTACATGTTGTGGAACACTCGGACAACACCATATGCAGGAAATGCTAACAGGAGCAGGAATCATCCTGTTAACGCGTTTTGTCGGTACCCAGTTTTGGCTGGGCACAGAATGACGAACTTCGACTCTGTGTTCTTAGAGCCGATATTTGTTACAGGAGAATAACTCAAAAACGTTTTGGCTCTAGCATTGAGGTTAAGGCTCTTTGAGGCGTCCTGAAAGACCGGGACTCACAGTGGACCCAGTACTAGAGGTTACCATCCGCCAAGTAAATAAGTGAATCCTTGAGCTTCGAGCCGTTTGATGTCCCAACAACTAGAAACTCGAACAAAAACTCGAAAGTCGAACAAAGAATCACGTAGTCGTCACGTGGCCGTCACGTCTTGTAGAGAAGTGATATCCCCAATATTGCAGTTGTGAACAGGGCTATCAACCTGTTTAATAACGATGTAAAATTAAAAAAAAAAATTAAAAAGGTAGACAAAAGCAAATAGCATTACACACATTTCTCTCCAAAGAAAAAGGAGCGGTGGTAATGTCAGTGAACCACAATTTTCAACTGGTGGATTCCAGATGAAAGAAGGGCAATTCACCTTCCAGTGAACAGTAATATCCCTACTACTATTATTATTGATTGATTATTATACAGTATTTTTATGTATGCACTATTATAAATAAAAATATTCAATTATTCAAATTAAATACACTTTTTTGTCATTATTTACCAATATCATCTTTTGAACTCCGAAATCCGTGGCCTGTATCCCGCAAACGAACTATACCGACCGAGTGACCGCCGTTTCTCGGCGACGTTAGTGCCAACTTTAGCGGATAGAGGATGTCGCGTTGTGAGCGCAACGGATCCCCACGGCCGTTAATCTCGGTTTTGTAGACCCGTGCCGCTATTTACTTGAAATATCTCATTTATCATCACGAGGCTGAGTGAACCCCGTTCCACACCCAATGCTTCTCAGAAAATCTGGTAGCGCCGGGAATTGAACCCGGGGCCTCTGGATCTGTATCCAGGAACTCTGACCACTGGACCACAGAGGCGGTGATCTTTTGAACTAGACACTTAAAATGTATATATTGGGTAAATTTTGGGGGTCTGAAACGGATTAATTCAATTTACGTAATGTCAAATGGAGAAATTTATCTTGAAAGTTGATCAACTTGAAAGTCGAACCGTCTCCTGGAACGGATTATGTTCGAAGTTAGAGGTTCCACTGTATTGTGAAAAGTACAATATGTGGGTCTGTATATGAGCTACATTTCAACGTTTGAATCTCTCGAAGTTTGAGGTGAACCTCGTGCTGATGTAGGCCACCCGCACAAGCAGCATGTCAGGTCACGACTTAGGTACGAGCTTATGAGGAGACGTTAGTCCCACTCAGTATGAGCTCCCGAAATTGTGTAGCCGTGTGATGACGTATCTTTTACAAAATGAGACTTCCGTTGAGGTAATATATCGTAGGACGTAAAACAACAGCCTCGCAGCTTTTCGAAAATTTTCGATATCCACCCGAGTAGGATTTGATGCTACGACCATCTGCTCTTAAGCTTCATTTCATTGTTTGTTTATTAACTTACATTACCGAAACGTAACACCGATAACACGAACTTCATAGCCTGGAATGTGGGCTTTGAGGGCTGTGTACATATTTCCTTGTTTGTTTATATTTTCTGTTGCTGCTGGATGACGTGACTGCTGAACTAGCTCCAGCACTGCTTCCGACAGTTCTAGGTGTAATATGAATGTAGTATCGATATTTACTGACTTCAGAAAGCCACTTTGGCTGAGGCACTATGCTACAAACCGGAAGGTCGCGGGATCGAATCCCAATGCGGTGGATTTTTTCATTTTACTTAGTCCTTCCAGCCGCACTTTGGCCCTGTGCTCGACTTAGCCTCTAATAGAAATGAGTACCAGGAATATTCCTGAGGGTAAAGGACGGCCGGCGCGTAAGGCTGACAGCCTTACCGCATTCTGTTAGCCGATTGTCTAGAAAATGCGAGAGCCCCGACGTCTTAAAACCCTATAGGCCTCCCTAGCCTGTTACAGGGATAGTTTTGCCTAGATGTGTGAAAGGAAACGCCCCTTCTTCATGAAATGGGTTAGAAACTGTTACTTGACTGTGACTTAAAGTTAGGAGAGAACACATTCAAAAGAAGAGAGCAAGAGAAACTGAACATCTTATTGAAAAGGAATTAGCAACGCAGTCATGAGCCTCTTATCCTTGTAAGATTTACATGATTTCAGCGCTTAGTTTGAAAGCAAATATCTGAGTAGCTATCTGCTAGTTCATGCTTTACATAACCTTGAATATTGATTTATCGCTGCCTCACGTGTTAGCCATTGTTGCGGAACTACTGCAGCGGTCCCTGGACAGGCGATATCGGTACTAACTGACCCAAACACGCGGACCGTGACTCCGATGTCGGGAAGCCATCACGCTCAGCTGTTACAACGGCAGCTGCATCATTTCCCCTGTTCCTGCGCAAGCGTAGTGCAACGAATGGCACCGGCTCAGTTATATTTTCCCGGGTTACGTTTCCATTCAAGGTCTGCAGGTCTGGAAGTTGGCGCCCAGCTGATCAGCGGACTGTTGTTAGCCCCAGACGTTCAGCAAGGAGGTTCAGCATACTTCCGAGTTTTGACTGTCCAGCACGTCACGGTTCAGGAGTCACAGTCACAGCCGTAGGGTCAGGTAAGAGTGATTCGCGTTATATTTCAGGGACGAGTCTGCAAGACATATTTCGTTCATTAAATCAAGGAGGATTCACTCATTCATCAGTGGCTCTACAGCACTCCTACACAGGACAGAACAAACGCACACGGAAATCCATGCCAAGAGTGGGCTTCGAACCCACGATCCCAGCATTAGAGTGAGCCAAGACAGTTCATGCCTTAGACGGCGCGGCCACTGTAAAATAAAAGTTCCTCGGAGTAATGGTGTTCGTAAAGGCCCACGCCTCTGCCGCGCCATAGCTCAAGCGGTTAGTCGCTGGCTTCCCACCGCGGCGGCCCGGGTTCGATCCCGGGTCTGGTCAAGTTGGATTTGTGGTGGACAATGTGGCACTGGGGCAGGTTCTCTCCGAGTACTTCAGTTTCCCCTGCCAATCTTTATTCTACCAATTGCTCCACAATCACCCTCACCTATCATCTAGGGCTGGTACAATAGGCCAGAAGTGGCCGCGGTACAAGGGACTTAGTCCCACCCCACTTACTTACTTAATCATGGAGCTGAGCCCTTCTGGAGGAGCCGCCAATTCTGCAGCTACTCAAGAATTTCCCAGCATTTTATGGAACCCGAAGATTCATTACCATGCTCACAAGAGCCCTCCACTGGTCCCTATCCTGAGCCAGATCTTTCCAATCCATACCATCCCATCCTATCTCTCTAAGATCCATTCTAATATTGTCCATCCACCTACGCCTTGGTCTTCCCTGTGGT